GAAAGGGTGAGCCATCGGAAAGGGCCTTTCAAGGAATTCCATTCTAAACATGGAACACTGATGACAGACAGAGAAAGCGGAGGCCGTGGAATAACGGCCGCCACCTTCCCCAATCCCACGGAGACGCACGTGCAGCATGAGTCACAAGAGAAAAGTCACGAGTAGGTCAGGTCTCAGTCCACGGGGCAGATGGTCAAGCCAACTGTTCTGGGTCAAATTGTGCCACCTTCCCCCATCCCACGGAGACGCACGTGCAGCAGGAGTCACAAGAGAAAAGTCACGAGTGGGTCAGGTCTCAGTCCATGGGGCAGATGGTCAAGCCAACTGTTCCGGGTCAAATTTTGGCAGATGCCTGCCAGGAAACTCGAGATACAAGCATGCACACTTGGGGGAGCCGGCCATGGCAGGAGCCAGAGGCATGTGTGCAACCCCCACCCCCAGTGTGGCACCCCACCGCCCTCCAGTGGTCGCTGAGCCCAGGGAGAGGTTGATGAGCCTGCTACACCTTTGGCTACCGGAGCGCGACCCTTTCGCTCCGGCTGTTGAGACTCACACTTTGTGGTCTAGAGGCCCCAGGTTCAAGGCCGCCTTGGGAGCAGCCAGACACTCCTGTTCGTGCAACGCAAAGCTGTGGGTCACGCAATCTCATTGACACCACTCTGTGGCAGACAGAGTTCTTTTCTCTGTGCCGCACAAATGTCACGGCGGTGTCTATTAAAAGTAGCTGGCTTTTGATCACCCACCATGCCCCGCTTTGAGGTGAAGCAGGACAGAAGTAAAGGGAAGGCATTTCTGCTCTCCCGGTCAGCCCAGCAACCCACCCCCAGCAGGGAAACTAGCCTCCTGCAGACACCCACCTGTTCGCCTTCCGAGTCTCCTCTTTTCCGCTTTGCCTTCAGCTTCTTGAACTCGGCTGCCTTCTCCTTGTCCGTGTCACAGAGCGGCAGGCCCAGCTGCTCAGGCAGGACGCCTGGCTTCCCAGTGTCGGCAGGGAGGAGCGAGAGCTCCACGTGGCTCTCTTTATTATTTACGCTGCAGCACGTTTGCAGGGGAAGAGGAGAGACAAGCCGGCATGCTCCCCTTTCTTGGAACGCCAGCGCTTTGGGAAGAGGGGCCTAGAAGGGATCCTTGGGCCACAGAGTTCGTCCCTAGCTACTGCAGATAAACCCACGTCCCAGGGGAAGTCTCCACGCTCATGCGCCTCCCTGCAGGAATGGCACAGCCAGCCCTGATGGGACCCCGGCAAGCCCCTGTGCCTCCTTTAACAGCGCCACGCTAATAAGGCCAAATGAATATTTGTCCCACCCAGCCCGCCAGCCAGAGCTGACAATTACCACAATCAGATACTTCTGGGGCCCTAATTAACATCTTGCGATCAGCAGGGAGGTTCACCGCCCCCCTCTCTGCCCCCACATAATGCAGCTCAAACTAAAACCAGCTGGGTTCAGTTCCCCCATTATTCCTCTGCAGAGGCTGCTCCAGTACCTCCTTGGGCTGATTATTAGGCACCTGCTCTAATTTCCAGCCTAACACGTCTCCACAGCCAGTTTATTCCCATGTGTTCTAGTGCCAGCATGGTCCCTTAGCCCCAAGAGGGGTACATCCAGACTACGTTCGTCTGGCAAAAGAAGGTAAGCGAATTCAGAGCTAATTTGCATAGCTCCTTCCGATGGCGTTAGCGGAAGAGGTTTTTTTGAAAGGACCCTCTACACCTCTTAAGAAAGGGTTCTTTCAAAAAAGGGGGGTTCTTTCGAAAATGTGTTCTAGTGCCAGCATGGTCCCTTAGCCCCAAGAGGGGTACATCCAGACTACGTTCGTCTGGCAAAAGAAGGTAAGCGAATTCAGAGCTAATTTGCATAGCTCCTTCCGATGGCGTTAGCGGAAGAGGTTTTTTTGAAAGGACCCTCTACACCTCTTAAGAAAGGGTTCTTTCAAAAAAGGGGGGTTCTTTCGAAAAAACAGACTACGTTCTTCTTTGAAAGGAGATATGCAAATGTGATGCTAATTTGCATATCATCTTCCAATCACTTTTTCAAAAGCGTTTTTTCGAAAGTGAAAGAAACCGGGGGGGAGGGGTTTCGAAAGAACCCCCCTTTTTCGAAAGAACCCTTTTCCCCTAAAAAAAGTTAGGTGTACAGGGTTCTTTCAAAAAAAGGGGGGGTTCTTTCGAAACACCCCCGTCTAAACTGCTTTCACTTCAAAAAAAAACAAAAACCTATTCCGATAACGTGATCCGAAGATTTGCAAATTAGCTCCAAATTTGCATATCTTCTTTCGACAGACGAACGTAGTCTAGATGTACCCTAGCTCTTCTCCCTTCCTGGGACGTATTTACCGAGAGTGCTCAGAGCCCCTCTCAGCCCTCGTTTCACCAGGACTTGTCTGGAGAGCAAGTTGGCATGTAAATCTACAGCCCATCAGGCTGTTGCACACTAACTGGCCACGCGAACCCTGCTCCCACGCACGAACAAAATCCCCAGTGTGCCCAGAGCTCCTCTTGTCCCCACTTGGCACGTATTAACTCGCCCTCTAGAGAAGCCCTCGGGCTAAACAAGCTCTTCTAGGAAGACAGACTCGGCACTCCCCTGACCCTCCCCCCAGCCCGGTTTGCCCAGAAGGTGTCGCCGTTTCTTCTGCCCCCCACCACTGAGCTCTCCATCTGCCAGTTCACCGCCCCACCTACCTGAGGACCTTGGCAGTGAGGAGCTTCCCCTCCGGCAGGTACTGCTCGTACAGGGATTGTTTCGGGACGAAGAAGGGGACGACGTTGTGGAACTGGACACGGCCCACAACTGAGCTGGACAAACTGAGAAGAAAGAGTCAGAATCGTGCATGTTTCCAGCTTCCCTGTCACGGCAGCTCTAGGACACGGCGCTAGACCATCCCTGACAGGTGTCTGTCTCACCTGCTCTTAAATATCTCCAGCGATGGAGACGCTACAACCTCCCTGGACAATTTATTCCAGTGTTTAACTACCCTGACAGATAGGAACTTTTTCCTAATGTCCAACCTAAACCTCCCTTGTGCAGTTTAAGCCCATTGCGTCTTGTCCTGTCCTCAGAGGCCAAAGAGAACAATTTTTCTCCCTCCTCCTTGTGACACCCTTTTAGATACTTGAAAACCATTATCATGTCCCCTCTCGGTTTAAAACCGTTATCATGTCCCCTCTCAGTTTTCTCTTTTCCCAACTAAACGAGCCCAGTTCTTTGAGTCTTCCTTCACTCATGTCCCCTCTCGGTTTTCTTTTCCCAACTAAACAAACCCAGTTCTTTGAGTCTTCCTTCATAGCTCATGAAGGAAGACTCAAAGGCCTTTAATCATTTTTGTTGCTCTTTTGTGGACCTTCTCCACATCTTTCTTGAAAAGCGGTGCCCAGAACTGGACACAATACTCCAGCTGAGGTCTTATCAGCGCAGAGTAGAGTGGAAGGATGCTGACATAGCATGTGCCAGCCAGGTGACCGGTTCCGTATGAGATAGAACATTTTCCACATCAACTTCAGCAGCTTCCAGACAACACGAACAGTTCTGACTTGCAGAATGAAATTCATGTTGGCGAGTGGCCTTACGTTGTGAGAGATGCTGCAGAATTTTGCATTCTAAGAGCTATAAACACAAAGCAAGTGGGCACACAGACCTACGGTCTACACCAGGGATTAGCAAAAGGGCCTCCGCAGATCAGATCCAGCCTGCCAAGCAGGTTGATCAGGCCCACGGATGCCCAGCTGCTCCCCCGCCCCAGGAATGAAGTCTCCTCTCACCCCACAAGGGGCACAGCCACCTAGAGGGAACCTCCAGCTGTTCAGAACACCTGGTAATTCCCTGGGGGGGGAGGGGGGCCAGGGGACAAAGACTTCACACACTGCCCTCCACCCCCAGGACAGTCACGATCTGTGGGTGGGGATGCACAGAAGTGTCCTGGCCCTGCCCCCTCCAGGGTAGCCCAGAGCTGCTTCGAAAATTTCTGAGGTGTCCCCGCCCCAGTCTAAAATTATTGCCCGCCCCTGGTCCACATGGCCCACTGTAGTTCTCTACTCACCCAAAGAACACCCCTGACTGCTTGACAGATCTGACGTAGCCTCTGACCAGCTGGCCTTCTCGAACATCCTCCACACTTGTAATTTCAGGATCTTCCACTTTGTTTTTGCTCTTTGGGTTTGTCCTAGAAGAAAGAAGGGGAAGAAGGAAAACCCACACTGCAACTGAATGGTCTATATTCTGCCAGTCCTGAAAAAAAATCAATACAAACTGCTAAGTGACTGGAAAGCTGTGAAGCCTTTATGGAGTGTGAAGGACCAAGAACATCCTTGTTTCTCCTCTCGGTTATTTAAGTGCACAGTCTGCGTCTTCTGCCAGCTACCGAACGTACCTAGCACTACGCAGCAATCCGTGTCGCTTGAACGAGGGCTTGCGGCTAACCCCTTGGCAGGGTGAACTTTAGAGCTAGTGCCAGAAGAACAGGCAAAAGCAGTGACTGAGATGGTATGAAAGTCTGGGGGTCGTGTCCTCCTGCCCCCAAGAGGCTTTAACCCATCAGGTGTATTCATGGGTCCAGCAACCTGACCCCCTGACACAATCGGGTACTTTGAGGTCATCACTTGTGTCTGCAATGCACTCCTGGCACAAAGTGAGACGCTAGACCTAAAACGGATTGAGCCCTTCATCGGCCATTTCTCCTACAAAGTAAAACGCCCACCTGCAGCTTTGAAATAAAATGTTTCTGCTGCCAATCCAGCCCGGGGGAAACCCCCGCCCCCTCCCCCGCTTTTTTTTTTTTTTTTTTTTTAAACTAGGCCTAAATAAGTTCACTGGAGGAAAGGTAAATACACAGGACACCCAGAGCTAGCGGAGCAGTGAAACGCAATCAGACCTAAACCGATTATACAAGAGACAACACAGGACACCCAGAGCTAGCGGAGCAGTGAAACTCAAATCAGACCTAAAACGATCATACAAGAGACTCTCACAATTCGCAGAATCGCTATTCACAGTTCCGCATATTTGCAGGGTTTCCTGGCCTGGCCTGGCTGGTGGGAGACAGCTGCCCAGCCCCCGCAGAGAGTTCAGGAGCCGTGGGGAACTCACCGTGGGGGCCAGGAGCTGAGGCTCCCCGTATTCATGAATGGCGAAGGGTTTCTGTAACTCAAATGTATGAATGTCTACTCAGAACCAGGCATCCTCATGTTCGCCAGTATTTGGGAAACCCTCTGTGCAGAATGAACCTGCATTCAAAGGACCTATCCTTACCCCTTACAAAGTCTGAGCGATCAGGCTAATTATATAATTTGAACTCTCACACTGGGCTGGCCTCGTCAATACAGGTTTCAGGGTGGGCAAAAAACTGATACTTGTTCACCGCGCTTGTTACCATTCTCAAGTGAACTACAGTCCAATGTAAAGGCACCTTACCTGGATTGCCGGAGAGAGACTTCTATTTTGTTGTCTTTGTTGCAAAGGACACAACACCTAGAGATGTGGGAGAGAGAAGAAAATGGGAAACTTTGGAACAGGTTAAAAAAAACAAACCCAACCCTACAATAGAGGAAGCAGGGAAATGCTTCATATAGCAGCATTAAACGCAGATGGTGCACTAAGAAACCGGTGCTCTTAAGCATTTACGGTCTACCGCAGACCAATGAAATACACACATGCAGGAGATCAGCCGAGAAGGTTTCATGAAGAGAGACAACCTACACCATAGTATCTGGGCACTGCGCTGCTCTGAACACTCAAATCCGGTCAGAGGTGAGGAACGCAGTGGCAGAGACACCATGGCCCAGATTTTCAAAGGTATTTAGGTGTTGCTAGGTCTGAGCAATTTAGGAGACCAAGGTCCATTTTCCAAAAGGTTTTACTCATTTAGGCATCTAAATCCCATGGTCTGCCAATGGTATTTTGGCTCCTAAGTGCTTACATTCCTTTGGGAAATAAGACAGACTCCTGAATCAGTCAGGCATTGCTCCACCGAGCACAGCAGCACCTAAATACCTGGTAGTTTCTGGGTGTGATTTGTCCAAGGTCCTGGGAATTAAACCCAGGTCTCAAGTGCCAAACTAGCGCCCAAGAAAAGGCACCATCCTCTAGCTGAAAAGGGAACTGAAGGAAGTGGGCAGCTGCTCCAAGCAGAGACAAACATAAGGTTACAAAAGCCCAAGCACTAACCGCACTGGTGTTCACAAGCCCTCCAACTCTTTCCAATTTGCCCCGGAAGAGTTAACCCTCCAGCTGGAAAGCAAGGAAAACTTCTCAAGGCTCCTACCAAGCCGAGCCCCGGGGGATCGCCTCACTGCGGAAGGATTTGTCCAGACCCACCCGCTTGAGGAGGCAACAAGAGACGTTACAAGACAAGGGCAGTTGCTGACCTGACGTGCTTCCCGACGCTGAAGTTCTCCACCGGCTGCTCAGAGTAGGAATCACTCAGGTGAAAGATGCCGGCTTTGCCGGTCTTTCCGAAAGGAAGCGCAATGGTTAGGCCCACGTGCGGAGTCACCTTCATTATGGTGCCCAAGGTGATGGTTCCTTCCACCAGTGAGTGGGCTCCTGGGCACAGGTATTAAAAGGGTTATGTCAGTCTGCCCCCACAAAGTGTGATGCTATTGTTAGGCTGGCAGTAAGGAAATCAAGGAGCTAGAAAGGAGGTAGGGGGTTATTCCCCCGGTCCCCAATCATCCTCAGCCTGTTCGCACTCTCGGGTTACGATCCCTTTCGCAACAATGGTGCCATGTTCACCCATCCACAGCCCTTCCTCCCAGACATGCCCCTGAACCTGTTCTGCCAGGACCCGCAGTAACTGATAAGAACATAAGAACGGCCGTGCTGGGTCAGACCAAAGGTCCATCTAGCCCAGTATCCTGTCTGCTGACAGTGGCCAGCACCAGGTGCCCCGGAGGGGGTGGACCGAAGACAATGATCAAGCGATTTGTCTCCTGCCATCCTTCTCCAGCCTCTGACAGAGGCCAGGGACACCATTTCTATCCCCTGCCTAATAGCCTTTTATGGACCTACCCTCCATGAAATTATCTAGCTTCTCTTTAACTCTGTTATAGTCCTAGCCTTCACCGCCTCCTCTGGCAAGGAGTTCCACAGGTTGACTACACGCTGTGTGAAGAAGAACTTTTATTAGTTTTAAACCTGTTACCCATTAACTTCATCTGGTGTCCTCTAGTTCTTCTATTATGGGAACTAAAATAACTTTTCTTCATTCACCCTCTCCACACCACTCATGATTTTATAGACCTCTATCATATCCCCCCATAGTCTCCTCTTTTCTAAACTGAAAAGTCCCAGTCGCTTTAACCTCTCCTACGGGACCCGTTCCAAACCCCTAATCATTTTAGTTGCCCTTTTCTGAACCCTTTCCAAGGCCAAAGTATCTTTAAGGTAAGGAGACCACATCTATACACAGTACTCAAGATGTGGGCGTACCATAGTTTTATACAGGGGCAGTAAGATATTCTGGGTCTTATTTTCTATCCCTTTCTTAATAATTCCTAACATCCTATTTGCCTTTTTGCCTGCCGCTGCACACTGTGTGGAAGTTTTCAGAGAACTATCCATGATAATTCCAAGATTTCTTTCCTGATTTGTCATTGTCAGATTAGCCCCCATCCTACTGTACGCACAGTTGGGGTTATTTTTTCCAACGTGCATTACTTTACACTTATCCACATTAAACAGCGGATAAACAGCTCGTGTGCCACCTGGTGTCTGATGGAGACCCAGCAGCAGCAACTTTGCTTCAGAAGAGAGCCGAGACTGGGAGCTGGCCTGTGACACCTAGAAGGAGAACTGCTGCTATAGTCTCATGGCTTGAACCTCTACCTACAGGCGGACTCTGAACATCAACACGCCTTGGACTCTGGATCCAGTTTCAGGGTGTGTGTCTCTCTGTCAGGGCAGAATTAAGTCTGGCTCTGGCCTGCAACGTTCCCACCCCACCGTTTCAGTCTCTAATTGCTGAGCAGAAGGAGGGGCCACGACAAGAAGGATATTGAGGAAAACAAGGCTTTCCCGTACCTATAAGTGACAGGAAGAGGTTGGTCTTAGAGGCATCCGTTCCAGTCACTGTCGCAGACAAAGCCTGGCCGTTCTTGAAGCTCTTTTCTGGATGCTTTAAGACCTGAGAGGAAAGAGACCCCGCTTGGTACCAGGGACTTCAGCCCCTCGCTTTCATTTTTAACCAAGGTAACCTCAGCACATTTGAAGATAAGAATATAAGAACGGCCAGACTGGCTCAGACCAAAGATCCGACTAGCCCAGGATCCTGTCTGCCCACAGTGCTCAATGCCAGGTGCCCCAAAGGGAATGAACAGAACAGACTGATCCATCTCCTGATGCCCATTCTCAGCTTCTGACAAACAGAGGCGAGACACACCATCTACCCTGGGTGTTATGTGCATCTTCTGGACGCCTCTTAAATCCAGAAAGAAATGTCACCTTAACACTAGATAAATCTAAGCAGTCCACACAGCATCTCTAAAGGCTCATGTTTAGGGAGGCAGCCTGGCCTTGTGGGGGAAAAAAAAACGGGACTGGGATTTAGGATACCTTGGATCTATCTACGCTTGAGTCTCAACAAAGACTCTGGCTATCTCACCTATTACAAAGATAGCTTCCCCAATTATCACCTCTAATACCATTAGCTCACAGACATTTACCTTTCCCCACCTCTAATACCATTAGCTCATAGACATCTACCTTCCCCTCCCTCCCCCCGCATACCTCCCTCTGTTCTGAAATTTGATTTGTTCTTGTCATATGTGTTCATCATTTTTTTTAATTGTATCCTTTGGTATATATGGTTGTGACTGCTTTCTTCCACTATTTGATCTGAGGAAGTGGGTCTGGCCCACGAAAGCTCATCATCTAATAAACCATCTTGTTAGTCTTACAGATACTGTCGACAAAGCTTCTGTCGACAAAGAGCGTCTAGACGACATCCAGTTCTGTCGACAAAGCAGCTTGCTTTGTCGACAAAACCCTGTAGTCTAGACACAACCCTACATGCAAGAACACCTTCTGTCGACAGAAGGCGTTATGCCTCGTAAAATGAGGTTAACCAGCGTCGACATGACGTTATGTCGACAGAACTCAGTGGTAGTGTAGATGCAGGTATAGTTTTGTCGACAAAAGTCCACTTTTGTCGACAAAACTCTGTAGTCTAGACACACCCTAAAGTGCTACATAGTCCTGTATTTTGTTGGATCTATTCCTAACCCTGCCACTACTTTGCTGGGTGACCTCAGGCTAGTCATGCGCCTCCCCAGGCCTCAGTTTCCCTATATGTACAACAGGGATAAAGATGCCGACATCCTTGGTAAAGGGCTTTGAGATCTGCTGGAAAGCAACGACATAAGAGCTAGATATTATGAGGTTACTTATCTTGTTGCCAACATATAAAAAAAAGCAACTCTACAGAGACAGTGGCTTACTGTGTAAAGATTTAGCAGGGCACCGAATTCCAAATCTCGTTATTAAGAGGCAAATCAATCGGTTTTGTTCTCTAACAGTCTGGCAATTGATTCAGAAGCTCTGCACCCCCCTCCCTTTTGAAAAGAAAAATGAACTGTAGATGTTCCCAGTTTAACGTTGCTCTAAAAACAACCTAGTCAACAACGCTCTGTATGGAGCAGCTAGGCAGGTTGAAAGAAGAGCGTGTCCCATCCTCCCATCCACAGGAAGCAAAGCAGAACCGCAAGGTTGGAGGCTGCTTGAAACACTCGTGTTTAGGTGCTCGCAGCCTCGTGTGTGTAAAACCTTTGCACGTCTGATTCTCCGGCGAGGACTTACCTTGGGGTTCAGGGAAAGCAGCAGCTGGGGAACTCTTCCTCGAACCTCGGGAGCAACCTCCACTTCCAGCCAGGTCTTTATGGTATTGTACTGAGGGGGAACCAACCAGCCACAAGAGAGAACATTACGACTCATCAGAAGCTTCCTGGACTCATCTGAGTGAGTCGATACACGGATCAAGGCCAAGAGGGCCCAGCTATGGTCAACAAGCCTGATTTCCTGCATAACACAAGCCAGAAAACCTCCCCCGGGGTTTCTGGCCTGGGTGCCAACTGCTTATTGATTAGGACTCCAACGCAGGACAGGTGCTTCTTTGTGCACCAATCAGAGAGGGGAAGGCGTCTCCGCAGAGGGGAATCAGCATTGGCCACTCTCTGCCCACAGAGCTGCTGACAGAATCCAACCTTTGGGCTGGGCGGGAATCGTGGCTTGGCCCCAGAGGCATCTGCCTGCTAACAGGGTCTGCGGCTATCCTGCAGTGAGCCTCATACACGTGCCCTGGGCTTTGGGCGTCTGGCCCTTTGGGACCGGCGGGGTCTATCCCCAAAGCAGTGAGCAGAGGGGAAGACACGATGCAGGGGCCAGGCTGGGATGTTGGCTCCTCTGCATTCTGCCCCTTCCTTCTGTCAAAGACCAGGGCTGGGTTGGGGTTGCGCCAAGCTGGCATTTTACCGGCGCAGCTCAAGTGGTCAGACCACAGGCTGGACCCAGGCCGCCCTCTCCCAGCGCTTCTTTTGGAAGCCCCGGCATCTCACCTTCTTCACAAAGCAAGTCACCGTCTGCCCAGCTTTGTAGGGCCCGAGCCGCTCGCTGGGACTGTCTCCTGAGGGCCTTGGAGCCGGGCTGCCATCCCCCTTCAGATCACTGCCACACAGGGAAGAGACAGGAGCAGATGGGAAATAAGTTACAGCCCCCAGCAGCAGGACGTGGTGTGAATCCAGGAGACCGTTTACGATGATGCATTATCCCCAGGGCAGCATCCCTGTACAGTTCCCCCTCACTCTCCTCCCCCCCTTGGTCTGCACAGTGCAGGAACTCCCAGTTTCGAGCAACCCCTCCCCCCAGGACTGAGAGAAGCGCTGGGGGGCAATTTGACCCAAGCCCCGTGCGAGGCAGCGCCAGGGCAGTTGTGTTAGAGAGAAGCACGACAAGCTTTAACGCACAGTGGCCAGCACAGCGCTGGAAAGAAGGGAGCGACATGCGGATGCGTCCTGCTGTCTCGTGGATGCCTTGCGCCCTCCGGCCTACAGAGAAGGGAGCCTCTGCGACACGCAGGGGGTGTGGATCGCAAACGCTGCCCCCTTTCCCCTCCCACAGCGGGACAGCACCTCCCCAGCAGCAGCTGAGGGTGGAATTTGGCGCTGGGCACTTTCCACCTTCATGGCGCTGGACAAACATGAACCCAGGCGGGTAGGAGGCTAGTGCAGAATCCGCGGCCCTCACCTTGGTCGAATGCTGAGCTCTGGAACGGACTGAGTGAAGTGGGGATGGGTGATGGGCAAATACCTGCAACAGAGGAAATTGTTCAAGTCCTTCTGTCTTTCCCCAGCACGCTGCCAGAAGCCTGCCCCCCCCGCCCCCTCCACCCACCA